AATCTTATGGAATCCTACGGAATCTTATGGAATCCTACGGAATCTTACGGAATCCTAAGGAATCCTAGGGAATCCTTGGAATCCAAAAGAATCACAGGGAATCTTTGGAATCCAAAGGAATTCAGGATTCCAGGATTCCGATTTTTCCCCCTTGCAATTAGGTCATCTTCATGATAATTTATATGATTTATTTAATCAGAATTACCCAGGTGAAAAAATCTTACGAAGATCGTATAAGATCCTACAAGATCTTACCAACAATCTGATGTCGCCAGATTCATACTGCATGATCTTACAGAATCGTACAAATATCTTACTGTAAGATTTAATATGTTTCTTACTGTAAGATGCTATTATAAATCTTACATGATTCTTGCTATAAGATTCTTGGAAAATCTGACGATCAGAATCTTATAAGATATTGTATGATCTTGTAAGGTCATAATTTGAGTTTTTTTTGTGCAAGTATATTTTTTATAACCATACAGTTTCATGAGGTTAAATAATTATTTAAGAATTGAATGTGTTCTAATTAAAACCCACGTCTTTTCGAATTGAAAATACATCTTTGGGTGATCCTTTTCTCTCTGAAAATCAAATTACTAATCTTATTCATTTGATTGAAACAAATTTATTGTTGGTTAACGGAGATACCTCACTAACTGGTTTAGTCATTTACGCTCATAGAAAAAAGGCGTTCTCCATATTTTTGTCTAGAAATACAATTAAGTATTATCATTTTTTTTTATTTTTTGATAAAATTTTTCAAAATTATCCTACTATAACTCTTCAGCATAGGGGACTTCTAACATGATAATGGTCACAATCGATTATATAAAGACGCGGGAAATCGTTACAATCATGTTATATGTTTTAGTTTGGTTGAGTAAGCATGTACATCGTATTTTTTCCATAATACGACTAAGTTGTTTTATGTTCAGATATAAGTTTTGAAAATTATTTCAATTTTGTTTTATACATTGGAAGTTCTACTGTTTTATTTTTCTATTTCATCGAATAATTTTTTAATATTTTCATGATATATTTTAACTAAAAAAAAATGATGTTAATTTTTTTATTTATGTTAAATCAATGTGAACCAAAACAAACTTCATTGAATGTAAATAGTTTATTTATTTTCTGCTAAATTAGAATAATCTAATATTGTTATCTATTTGCTAATTAAAATACCATGAAATCAATTTAATCATACTAGATTTTTTATTTTTATTTCATAGTATTATTTAATTTATGTTATACTAGAATAAAAGCAATTCAATGTGAATATTTTATTCTAATTAAAATGTAATTATTCTAGTAGATTTATTGTTTTGTATTTTAAAACAAAATCAATTTAATCTAATACCGGTTTTTTATATCATATTTAACAGAAACTAATTGAATGTGATTATTTTATTTTGCTCGATTAAAATAAAACTATTGTATTTGAGTTATTTATATACATTTAAATGACACTAAAATAATTTTATTTAATTACTTTATTTGACAATTTCAATAAAAATAAAATTATTTTGACACATTATTTATTTACAATCAATATAAAATAATCTTATCTAATATAACATGATTTTAACTATTTTTCAAGTTACAGTTATGTAATTACTTAAGCTCATTTTAATATTTGAATTTATTTTGTATTACTGTGATCGATCACTTGAAGACAATATTGAAATTATAAGCAAAGCGAACTCTGATTTGTTTTTGATAAAACTAATTCATCTAATTGTATTTTTCGATGTGACAATAATGAAATCGTTTTGTATGTTTTTTTTAAGAATAAATTTAGTTTAAATGGAAGCAAGACGATAAAAAGTTAATTGCAAACGCTTTTTTTTTCTTAAAAAAAGAGATCAATGAAAGCAAATCAGTTGCTCAGAAAACCAAGTTAGAGAGCAGCCAATATTAAAAGAAAATCAGTTATGCAATGCGTACGATAGCTGCATATAATCTTGCATGAATAATATAAGATCTTACAAGATCATGCAATAAGACCATATAAGAATCGTACAGTACGATTTAATCAGAAATGGTGGCTTTAAGATTATCATATAGAATCGTATACGATCTTGTATGATTTTCATACGATCTTATAGAATCATACAAGATCTTACATTAAGATCGTATATACTCTTGTAAGAATCGTATAAGATCTTATTGTCAGATTATTTGACCTGGGTATGCAATTTCTGCAAAAAAACAGTATTGTCGAATTGCACTTGGTGCTCTTTATCATCCATGATGTCTTGTGAATAACAACTTTTTCTGTATTGTATTTGTCAATCAAGATGAGGTTGAAAAGTGTGATCCACCATTTCTCAATCGATTTGAAAAACATATGATCGATATTCAAGATCTAGTACAACCTATTCATTGGCGAATAACTCAAAGTCTTCTTAGCTGGTTAACAGATCTTTTGCCATATGGAGATAATATACGCTTTCCATGCCTTCAACATTTGTTTATCGGTTACAATCCTGATTATGTGTGTAATTTAGTAATTGATACTAGTGAAGAACAAGGTGTAGATGAAAATATAGATCAACAAAAAGTGATAGAAGCATGTAAAATTAAGATACTGCGCTGTTCTTCATTTGATTTACCACTTGTTCTTGTCACTCAAACGACTAATGACGAAAAAAACCAATTGCTTATTCAACAATATTATGAACTTCATAAACGAAAATCATTTGCCGATGTGTTTTCTCAACATCGAGGAAAAAATTTGCGCTCTACATCAAGATCGACTCCAATTGCTACAATACTCTGTAGTGTTGCTAAAAAACAGATTATCTATACTTATACACAAATTTATGATACAATCATTTACGATTCGAATATTGTTAACGAAATCAAATTAAATAATTTGCAAACAGAACTCGAAATAATAAATAAACTAAAATCACACTTTTTAAAAAAAGACGGTCCACGTATTTTGATTATACGTGTTGATTATCTTACAGAATATAAACAACTTCTTTCTCTTAAATATATTTTACTCAATGCAATTGATGATGAATCTAAACAACCATCTGATCATTGTGTTTGGCTTGTTATTCATTTACAACTAGGCATGCACCAAACCCAAACCCAAACCCAAACTGTTTGGGGGTTTGGGTTTGGGTATTGAGTTTGGGTTTGGGTTTGGGTTTGGGTATTTGAGTTTGGGTTTGGGTTTGGGTTTGGGTATTGAGTTTGGGTTTGGGTTTGGGTTTGGGTATATGAGTTTGGGTTTGGGTTTGAGTTTGGGTTTGGGTTTAGTGTGGGTATTGTGTTTGGGTTTCAGTTTCAGTTTGCTATTTCTATGCTACACATTGTTAAACAGTGATATAGAGTCATTCTCAATCCCGAAAGGATAACTTGAAGAATGAATATTTTTGGTCAATTTGTGTGCGGTCATTTTGATAGAAAATCGAAATCACATTTCTCAGTTGGAGAAGCGAGTGTTCGATGTTCTATCATAATCAAATATTGGTTTTTAGGGGAGACAGGGAACCGGAATTCGAACTCTATTTTCTTGAGACTCAAGAGTGGTCTACAATGAATGAGGGTGTCCGCCTTTTAGCAGTATCTTCTCTAGTTTTCATAGACTTGGACTGAATATTTTCTGAGCGATGCAGCATTTGACTCTCCACGAAACCACATACATGTGCATGTCATAGGAATAAAAGCAAAAAGCGCTATTGTAGTAATGCTACAAGCATTCAATATCAATAACTTTGAAACTCAAAATACAGCTCACTTGTATTTATGTATTGCTACATCAAGCTAGATAAACAAACTGTACTATCTATTTTGTGACACTGGCATGAATTTTTGAACAAAATGGTGAGTGAAAGTTTCAAGCCAAGCTGTTCCAGCTCCCATCTCCGCCCCATTACAGACAAAAGCAAGTCATGCTCATATTATGGAGTTTAGTAGCCGAGATTATGTACTGAGTATCTATCAGCCTTATTAGTCATATAATCCAATGCTTATAATCAAGTCAAAATAATGAAGTTAAAGAAGATACGTGAGTTCTGCGTTTCAGCCTCTGAAAAACTGTATCAACAAACTTCTGTAGAGCTTCAAAAGCGCTATCTTATTAATACTCTCTAGAATTTTCATAGCGAAACTTTATTGCACAAAATAAGCATCACTTATTGGTTTCAGATAAAAAATCGCGGCACTTTATTTGATATAGATAATGTTTATCTGTCAATTATCGTCTATGCAACGTGACTTCGTTATGAGAACGTTTCAACAAACTGCTGTAATATGATAGAACGTTTGAAGCTCTACAAAAATAGATAGTATGATTTGCCTAAATTTCTCTATATACTTCAGCATGAATACACATACATACATGACAAATATATTTGTTGTTTGGAAGGATGCTCCAAGCCTGATGGATTACTGTCATAACTTTTGGCTTGTTTTTATCTTGATGATACATATCTGTCAATGGTTTCATTGAGAGTTAAATGCGATACCTTTTTGAAAATGTGGAATCCACAACTATCAATAACAACAGAGATATTGAAGAAATACTGCGAAGGACTTTATTCTGACCGGTTCACTGGAAGTGCTTTTAAAAGTAGTTGGTATTGCATGCCTGTAAGATTATAACAATAAGTCTTTTATTTTATTTCTATGACATACATCTTTTTATGGCTTCGCGCACAATCAAATGCTCAATATTATTAAGAAAGTCCCTTCCAAATCCATGAAAACTAGAGAAGATATGTAGAAAATACGGAAACTCTCATTCTTCATGGGTTCATTGTTAGATTAGCGAACCCCAAACCAACAGAAATAGACTTTTTCGAAAAAGCGTCTCCGTAGGAATAAACTCAGGCCAACAATGTGCATGGTTGGCAGCTGTGATGCGACCACACATCCATATCCACATTGCTATGCTTATTCACACTTCCCGAGAGACGTGTTATATATCCAGGAAATCGGAGAAGCTGGAGGAGTGTAGAATGATGTAGGAAATGCCAGACTAACTACAGAACAGACTCGTCCATTATACTTTCTCCCACACTCACACTCACGAGCGATGCCACTGTAGGAGATGCCGCATCTCCCTGTGGAGAAGTGCGGAAGGTGCGACATCTTCTCAGGAGATGCCACATCTCCGCAGGAAGACGCATCTCCAAGCTTTCCCTCGACCAAAGTTGTTTTCAGCTTTTACCCTGGGACCCCTGCGGAAGGTGCATCTCCTGGAGAGACGCCGCATCTTCCGCACTTCTCCACAGGGAGATGCGGCATTTCTCAGCATCTCCCGCATAGAGTAAAGTCTAAAAATAGAAAAAAAGATTTCATTGGCAGATGCCAGGAGATATATCTCCCGCATCTCCCTGCGGTTCTCCAGCTTCTTCGATTCCCTGGATATATGACACTGCTGCTTTCCGACATTAGCTTTACACCTTCATTGGCTGAATTCTCAGCATTCAGAAAATTGATGGATTCATAGCTGGCTACAGAAAAACTTTGAATGATTGAACAATATATATAAAAGGCCTCAAAGTTACTGAATCAGACTCCTGCGAGAGACTCATTGGTGAATTTGAATCAAAGAATTAGAGCGCCGTATAATAGATTAACATGGGAAGACTCATCCTTTAGAGATAGAGAATTGTACTGCAAGCCACACAGACTGCAAATTTAAACATCCATTTTCTGACTATCTTTCGGTGAAGCTTTCCATTCTAAGTGTAAGATTTTAATTCCATATGTAATTCATTTCTTAGCTATATCTGTTTTTAATCTCTCTTTGTTGCGAAAAAATATTACGAATATACAAAGCAATACTATAGAAAAATTCCATAGATGATGAAGAAGAAGAACGAGAGATTCATAAAACAAAGCTAAACATAGACGATCAAAAGTGGAGGGAAATGTTCGTTGCATATAATTATAAGTGAAAGGGAAAATACCATCACATATACGAATCTGAGCGAAAAGGAAAAATCTATTATGCACGACTAACAACAAGAGAAGAGAAGAAAAACCCAAGTACATATCTACAATCATAAATAGGAAAAATCCATAGGACTACATCTGAAGAAGATTTAGGTCACAACACGAAGTTCTATTTCTATTGGCGCATTGCCCCACTAAAATATTTATAGGGCGATATAGCTGTGATTAAAACTGTCGTCTCAATTATCCTAGAAGAAAAAGACGAAGAAGAATACCCTGCCTTTCAACTGCTTTGCGATATAGGATGCTTTCTGAAGACAGTTTCGAAGGCCTAACGTTTTTCGCACAACTATTACTAGCTATAACTCTGCAGAGAAAGCAGGCCTGACTCAGAGTTTCTTCCACTTAATCACTTAAGCTCGCCCCACAAGTTTACTCATCACATAGTAGCCACAATGGCTTTTTGTATGTCGATCACGTATTCAGAGGGGCGTCACATATCCAGGAAATCGTGGATGCTGAAGGAGTGCAGGAACATATGGAAGATGTCAAACTATCTACTAATAGACGATTACATTACGGGTGTTCGCATGTGTGTTAATGTTTTCTCCCACACCCACACTGACCAGATGCGGCTGTAGGTGTTTCCGTATGTATTCGTGTTTTCACCTTCGCCCATACTCATGAGATGTGGCGGTGAGTATCCATGTATGCTTGTGTTTCCTCCCTTATCGTCGCTGTAGAGATGTGTTTAGAAATGCCCAATCTTCTGGAGAGATGTGCTTGGAGATCTGGCATCTTCTGCAAGAGATGGGTCTTCCGCTGGGATCTCGGGCTAAAAATAAAATAAAACGTTTTCATCCGCAGATACGGTATCGTCTGGAGAGACGCCATATCTTCAAGCACTTCTCCCCACGAGATTCGGCATCTCTAAAGAGACTCAGTATCTAAAGGAGATACAACATCTCCTGCATCTCCCTGCACTTCTTCAGCATCTCCTGTTTCCTGGGTATGTGGTACTACTTCGTAGTCAGTGAACCATTAAAAGGTAAGCTATCCTACGGAAACTATCTCTCGAAAACGTTAATTTCTGTTGACTCTTGATCCATCAATGTAGTTTTGAGGAAAATGAGGTTCGGTTTTGGGTTCCTCTCTCTAAAAAACAATATTTCATTATGATAGAACATCAAACAATCGCTTCTCCAACTGAGAAATGTGATTTTAATTTTCTATCAATCAGACCACAGACAAATCGATCAAAAATATCCGTTCGTCAAGTTGTCCTTACGGGATTGAGAATGACTTTATGTCACTGTTTAACAATGTGTAGCATAGAAATATGCTTTTACTTATATCTATACAAAATAAATAGTAAAATATAGAGAAGAGACTTGGCACGAATGGTATTACATTTAAAGTCCAGTAGTTCAGTGAGTTGAAATAGCAAACTGAAACTGAAACCCAAACACAATACCCACACTAAACCCAAACCCAAACCCAAACTCAAACCCAAACCCAAACTCATATACCCAAACCCAAACCCAAACTCAATACCCAAACCCAAACCCAAACCCAAACTCAAATACCCAAACCCAAACCCAAACCCAAACTCAATACCCAAACTCACCAAACCCAAACCGTTTGGGTTTGGTGCATGCCTATTTACAACGCAATATGCTTGGCGAGGCAAAAAATGATGTATTGTTTCATGGTTGGCAAGTCGATATGATAGATGATCTTAATGCATATAATCCTATTTCAATCGAAAACTTAATGAATCCATCGTATTACGATCTGATTGGTCAAGAACCATTTCAATTGTCTGAAGATCTATTTAATGAACTTGTTAATCGAACTTTATCAAAGCTTCGATATGAAGTAGCTAACAATCAACTAGAATTAAGAATTAATCAACGACGAAATCTCATTACTGATTGTCTTATACAAGATAATCGATCAGAACTTCGAATTTCGATCCGAAATACATTATTTTTACTCATAAAAAAGAAAGATCGCAATCAAGACGATAAACGATTTTCAGATTGACGAAAAGATCTTTTAAATAATGGGTTCATTATTGGAACATGTCGCTCATTAAACGAAGCTTTCAAAGCTACAATAGTTCGATTTTATGAAACGTATTTTATACTCTTGTTTGCACATTTAGAACGATATAATTTCTTTGATTCTTATCAATTCATACGAAAACAAGATGAAAATGAACAAGAACTACTAAAAGGAATTTGGGATACTTCTTTAACTTCAAGTTTAAAAAATATCGATAAAAATGTCATGAATTTAGATAATGTTGAAATACCATTGGTTTTCGATTTATGACTTCCATGTACGATGATTGAATATACGATTATACGAGGTATATGTAAAATCTTATCAAAACAACAATCAGAAAACGATATAACTGTAGGAGATTTTGAGCAAAGATTATGGTTAAAACTGAATGATAAAACAATCTACGGAAAAAAATTAATTCGTAAAATCTTCGAGAATGAGAAATTATTTGAACATTATTTTCATGATTTATTGTGTTCTTTTCTCAATGAAAATAATATTCGACTGACGAGTAATTTTGTATTTAAAATAATTTGTACTAATCCAACTCGTTCAAACAAAACACGTTTTCAATCATTATTGACAAATTGGGAAGAAATTATTCAAATATTTCAAATTTTCGAACTCGGAACTTCTTTAATTCATGAAGATTCTTTATTAAAAACTTGTACGAGACAATTTATTAGAATTGATGATCAATATCATGTTAATGCAAACAATAAGAATGATTTATATACATTAATACTTACTAAAGAAGGTTTTGCTCAACTCGAGCCTGGTAACGATGAACGACATTTAAAAAATAGCTTAAATGATAATCGAGATCTATTTATTGAAAATAGTCTTATGAATCTTCTTAAAAAACTTCAGAAACCAAAATATGTACGAAATGTTGAATCTCCTAAGCAATTAATAACTAAATATGATCTTATTTATCATGGTATTCGAGCATTGAAAAACTATGTAGTCGATAATCTAGACAAATTTAGTTCACACATAAGTCTAATTCGATCAATAACTACTATTTTCGATAATCAATTCGCTGCCAAGATTATCAAACAGATATATGTCAACGATGATGCCGCTAATTTTGATTCATGTAATTCAATTCATGGATTCATTGAAAGATTAACAAAAATTATAGAAACAACAGAAGATCATGTAAAAGCAGACAAAGCTACTATTCAACGTACAATTCTCAAACTTGAGAGTGAGTTATTAAAAAATTGGTTGATCGATCATGGTAATCAATATGGTGATGTTCTTACAGTGATTAACCATAATGATACTGATCTATGGCGATATTCGGCTAAGATCTTCTTATATATTAATAGACGTCTGGATTTGATGGAAAACATAGAGAATTATCATGGTCAGATATCAGTAGAGAATGGAAAATTCAAAAAACTTGAGAAATTTTTTACAAAATTGTCTGATCAATCATCTAAAATTCAATTACTCTTAGTCAATCATCTTCATACAAATTTAATTCTACCGATAAATGAAAATGATTTCGAAAACATCCTCAGAAAAGATTACGGATTCTTTGAAAGAAATATGCATGAGATGAATGAGCATCTTGAAAATAAACGACATCATGTTCGATTGATAGGTCTAATTACATGGCTTAAATATTATGCACAAATATATGCATTCGTTCTTCATAATGATTCACATGAAGATGTTATGTCGAATATTGATCGGTTTTTAGCTCGAGATGAGAGTGTATTTGGTGCTACATTTAAATTATTTATTCTCAAACAACTTGTACATATGTCGAAGAATGTAACATTAACAGATGTACGAGACTTATTTATTCATCGTAATGTTGTTTGGTTACGACCATTAATAACACGTGTTGAACCAATGGCTACAAATCGTGATCTTGTTCTACCATTGCCTTTATTTGAAGGACATAATGAATATTTAATTGTCAATGAAATTCTAAATAATTTTGGTAATATCGATGAAGTTCGAACTCTAATTAAAAAATGTCGAACTAATCAACAATTGGCATATGGATTTTACTTATGGTCTATTCAATACTATTGTCGTTATCTTACACCAAACATACAGCAAGATCAACGATTCGTATAAGTCTTTTCTGTTGATTTAAAACAATTATTAATAGATTCTTTCGAACCAATTGGATTTAACCTACTTGCATCTCTATGTTGTAATTTTTCCGATGGATCCTACTTCTATTTACAACCTAATATGCCGAAAAAAGCATTCTATTGTCGTTTAATTGTGTTAAATATCGTAGTCGTATGTTTGGCTTAGTCTTATTTCAGGTACTTTTTCGTTTTAGCTATTTGAACAAATAAACAATTCTATGTAAACATAATTTTTCTTTTATTGCTTTTTTTCTTTCGCTTAAATATAGTTTTCTGTAGATAAGCACATATGATTATTTTTACGATAGATTCATGATCAGCTGATTTTAATTTCAAATTATATCATTACATTTAATTTTTTGTTCGTCTTACAGCTCTAAAATTTATTTTCAATGTCCAACATTCGGAAAATTCATTGAAAAATATTCCGAACGTTAGTATTTATCTCATGAATTAATTATAGTTTGCTTGACAGCTCTAAAGTTTATTTCCAATGTCCAATGTTCAGAGATTTCATTGAAAATTATTCCGAAAGTTAGTATTTATCTTATGAATTAATTTTAGTTTGCTTCGTAGCTCTAAAGTTTATTTTCAATATCCAACGTTCGGAAAATTCATTGAGAAATATTCCGAACATTAGTAGTTATCTCATAAATTAACTATAGTTTGCTTTGTAGCTCTAAAGTTTATTTTCAACATTCAACGTTCAGAAATTTCATTGAAATCTATTCCAAACGTTAGTAGTTATCTTATCAATTAACTTTAGTTTGATTAACAATCGTGAAACTTATTATTGATATCATCCTTGAGC